TAATAATAATAATAATAATAATAATAATAAATTATAATTATAATAATGATAATGATAATGATAATAACAATGACAATAACAATAACAATAACAATAATAATAACGATAATAATAATCTAACAATGTCTCAATGGCACCGTCAAACATCTACCAATACATGTAGTTTCAATTCACAAACCTGAGTGAGCGTCATTTTGGTGATGATAGCCAGCATGATCTTCTCTCCCTTGGTCGGGTACGGGTTCTTGATGTGTTCCTGCAGCCAGGCCTTGAGCGTGTTGGTGCTCTCCCTTGTCGCGTTCTTTCGCCGGGCGTTCAGGTCAAGGCCGCCATAACTGTCGATGACAAGAGACGAGAGGAAAATATAGCTGTGACATGAAGTAAAATTGAAGGATAGAAAATTGATGAAACCTTTCAATTTTGATAGCGTTGGCTGTGGTATTTGCTTGACTCCCGTATACGATGGGGTTTTTGTTTGTTTGTTTGTTTGTTTGTTTGTGTGTGTGTTTGTTTGTTTGTTTGTTTTCATCGACTATCACCGTCTGTCTACTGGGACATTGTATCCCTGTAAGCCCAGATTTTCCCTGATTGATTACAAAATTTTAAAAAGCTGCTCGCCGTTGAAAGTAATGAAAGACACTCGTACTTTATTAATCTGAGATTTTCTTACCAACAATCCACAAAGACTATTTTTTTGTTTCGTTTTGTTGTTGTTGTTTTGTTGTTGTTGTTTTTGTTTTTTTGACAAGTTTCACCGTTTGTAAATTATAGGATACAATGTATAAGAACAGCTGCAATGTCCAAGAAATTAGTTTTTTATATGTCTTTTTTTAGTTTTCCAAAATGTATCGGGTGAATGAATACAATTTATCTTTTCCTATCTTAACAATAAAATTAAAATAGCTTTACGGTAGGGGGTTGCTTTTTAATCTTCTTTTTTTCCTCTTTCCTTTTTTTTCTAAGAAAATCCTGTCACACACAATAATGAATCTTACATTTTTCTTGAGAGCCCATTCTATTTTCTACCACTGCAAAAATATGTAATCCTTTCGTGGAACCAGGGTATTCTAATACACTGGAGGTTCACAGGCTGCGATCTTTTTTGTAGTTTTATAAAGTCAGGTATTCTCCCTGCATGTTCATGTGCATAAGCCGCAGCTGCACGTTTCAAACATACAAAAATAACCTATCTCCCGACGTGGAAAAAAA